GACATAGTTTTTGGGTTGAAAAGTCACGCCCCACTTACGACTTCTACTTTTCTCTCTTTCTCCTGCCCTTTTTTTCCCCTCTCCTTGCCTAAAGTTTCTCCTCACTTGCTGGAAATTGAGTAGGCTTCATTTTGGTGTAGAGATTTTTCAGAAACTACTCATTATTTTCAAAGCACATGCTCGGAAAGGTAGGTGGGTAGTGAAACACGATCTTCGTGCAGATTTTCCGGTCAAAGTGACATGGTTGTTTGGCTATTTCTCCAATCTCCTTCACTCAATTGCGCTCATTCTGGTATCGTCTGCAAGATATTTTCAACCCGTTCAAGTAGATGCTCGAATTCGTGCTCCAGGGTTGAAATTGATGACGTCACAGGGCATAGAAAGGGTGTGGGTCCCCATGGGCGCATACGGGCGCACTGGACGTTAATGGGTTAATGCTATTCAGTCATCCATCGATAAATTTTAAGGATCTGAAAATTAATTTTCTGCCACATTGCAAGAGTTTCATGCTCTCCAAGATGTGATTGACATTTGGAGAAAAACACATGGCTGTCAAATTTTTTGTACCTGGTTTAATTTGTCTAACCATCGCTTCTCGTTTAGATAAATTCTTCATTTCCTCGGAGTTGAATAGTTTCACCGTTTCCTCCAAAATTTGTCCGTGTTTTTTCTCGGATCATGATTCTGTTTTACTGACTCTTAATCTAGATGATTTTGTTTCTCACGGACCTCGCAATTGGTGGCTAAATTTAGAACTCCTCGAAAATTCTGCTTTTTCCAAAATTTTTGATTCTCACTCGCAAACTTGTCTTTCGATCCGAGATAATTTTTCCTCCCTCCATGAGTGGTGGGATTTTTTTAAAGAATCTATCCACCATGCAGCAATTCGAGTTCTAAAAGTAGATATATGATTTAAAGACCCCCCCATAAGACTCAGACAAACATCTAAGATGGCCGAGCGAGTAGAGGACCAGGAGAGTCAATAATCAAGATAATTCCGGTTAAAAATGGTCAGTACAAAGCATTGCTGTTAGGAAAAATGTTTAAGCAATTCGAGATATCCCAAAAAGCTACCAAAATCACCAAAAGAAGTGGCAAAAACTGGCGAAAAAATATTCATACCATTCCCAAAACCATCCCAAGGCATTGAACGTTGTCAACGATGGATTAATGCCTGCTCTCATGAACATTTCACCTTGAAGAACATCACTAGAAATACTTACATTTGTGCCTTACACTGGCCAGGTGAAATGGGGCCAACAGAGGAATTTCCAGATCCTCTAAAGGCCAATTTATCGGTGAAAGACATTAAGGAGCAGTTACGCCGAAAGAGAAAGCCACCCAAAGAGAGAATAGAGTCGATTGATTTAAAGAAATCTATCCTTGAACTTCACGAAGATTTCACTGAAAAGGAAGATAATCTGTTGCACAAAAATATCCAGGATGGAATAGAGGTGATTAAAATGGCTAATGAGAAAAGTACTCAGACACTTTGCTGTAAGGTGGATCTAGCATCGTAGATTGAAACCATGATTCTAAAGAACGAGGTTAAAATTTCCAGGAAAAATACCGACTCTAGAATTGTGAGTAACCTTTCGTATGAGGTGATTGGAAAAGATTCACAACTAATGAAGCACTTTACTGGCCTTACAGGTCTTCAGTTCGATGTTTTATTTGAGCTTTTAAATGACATTTGTCCTTTGGATGAATTAACTTACTGGAGTTGCAATGCAAAGAAACTATCAAGGGTCTCATGTAAACTGTCTGAATGGTCTTCTAAAGAGAAACTGTTCATTTACCTTTTACGACTCAACAAAGGTTTTACAATAAAAACCCTTTCAATACTCTTAAGTTGTCCTGGAAAGAAAATAAAGGAAACCTCAATAAGGGACATTTTTACCAGATACATTCAGCTGATGTATAGAATTTTTCGGCTAATGGAGAAAATTAAGTTTCCCTCTAAGGAATTCCCACAGGAATTCCTACAAGAGTTTTAAAAACTGTAAGGAACGTCAGATGTAGCATTTAATTGTACTCAATTCAGAGTGGAGACCTCTACAAACTTTTCCAAGAAGGCAACACTTATTCTTCATATAAGCATGCCAATACTTTTAAATGTCTGATGGCAGTCACCCCAAATGGTGGTTGCTGTTTTGTCTCAGACAACAAGCGCAAGTCCAGTTAAACTATGTCGAACAGCATATGTAACGATAAGTAACATGCTGACTGCCACACTGATTAGTGCTCCTTTCTACAAGGGAACATGTTTAAACTGATTCTCTTCCTGATCAGCATTTACTCCACCAGCACTTTCATCGGAGTCGAAAGCGTCTAGGTATTCTTCAATGTCCTCTTGATCATCTTCAACAGCATCTATCGTGGCTTGTTTAGACTCAATGACCTTGCGAGTTTTTCCAACGTCACTCTCTTTCTTACGAGGGTGCACTTATCACTCAGAGTCTCAAAAAGAATGGTCGCTGTCATCGAGTTTCTCGTATGGAATTCATCGAGTTCCTTGTATTGAACTAAAGCTCTTTCAGAAGTAATACCACTCTAGTGTAAACAACCTTCGCGATAATCCAAAAGAACTCATCTCCACGTATTCAGTATTGGTGGAAGAGCCGCTAATTGTGCTACAAAGATCATCCACCGAAATAGAGACAATCATGGTGTTCTTCTCTGGCCACTTCTTTAAAGTCGTTCACGATATCTTTGCTCCTGGCTGAGACAGATACTGGTTTTAAGGCCCGCGTGGTTTACGTTTCTTTTCACAGGCAACTGAAGGAGTACAATGAGTGGAAAAGCTTTCATCTTAGTCTCTTATCATTGTCTGCTTTGTTGTCCATTTTCTTGTATTTGTTAAACTACTGCTGACATACAGTACTGTGGGATCACACATACGGGATGCTAGTTAATACCTTATACGGTTGAATACAGGACATCATATTTTACAGTTTTGGCAGGCAAAAAGGAGTTGTTTGGTGGGTTGTTGAGAAAGAGGTTGTAATTTATATTCAGATCATTTGCGTGAACATTTTAAAAGTGTTCCTTTTGTCTCCAAATACAATATGAGCACCAAAAGAAAAACAGCACCTTCAGTCAAGTATAGCGAAATGATTAAGTTCTACTGGTACGGTTGGGTACACAAGTTGTTTTTTGATTTTAATCCCTACACGAACCTTCATGACTCGAACTAGAACTCCCTGACCTTACATGGTCAGGGAGTTATAGTTTGAGTCATGAAAAATTGGCATTTTAAAGAAAAGTCAAGAGAATAAAAATTAAACTGCAGCTGATTTAATCCCACTAAAGTGAGGAAGAAGCATTTTAAGTCCCTGTGATCTCACAGGTGAGTTTTGTTTTGGAAGTGGATGTTGGAGGCTACTATTATATCTGACATTTCATATTTGTTTGGTTAGGGAAAGTTTATTTTCTAAGGTAAAAGGTGTTAAATAATTTACCTGATGGATTAGAGTGACCTGGGGTCCACAATGACAATCAGTCACAGTCATGCAATGATCACACAATTTGCCACTCAGTCTTCTTTACAAATGCTTACTGTTCAGGTATAAACTTTTAGGTGGGAAGAAAAAAAATTGACCATCGTTTATACATGTGGTCACATGCAAACATTTAAAAACAAGAGTCATTTGCAATTCTCGTGAGAAAAAAAGTTGATTCATCTTTTTATCATGCTCTTTGACAAAATCACTTTTCATTTCATGAGGAACAAAACGCCATTTCACAATTCACATGAAATCTAGGCCTTTCATCCATCACAAAAAAACAATTTACCACCTTAAATGTTTACTTGAAGTAACCCGATTTTTCTTTCCTTGCTACTGAAGACAAAGACGCTTTGGTAAAGATGAAAAATGCCATGGACACAATTGCGAAAAAACCACCAACTGGAAAAAAGTAAAATAAAGAGGGAAAAAGTAGAAAACTCCCCTGAGGTAACCAAGAAACAACCAGGAGAAAATAAGGTGAACTGCCAAAATATTTCTTCCTGTAAAAGAGCAGAAGATGATGATTTGGTATTTGACCAGTTAAAAGGCCTTCTGTCGGACAACTCAAACAGAAATCATGGTACAGATGAGGAGGAAGATAGTAAGTGGGCTTTCTGTACTTTAATTAGTATGTACTTTGCATGCAGACCAATCTGACAAAAAAGGTGAAGCATACATCAAGTATACTTTTTGTGAAGTATACTTGAGGTATACTTCACATAAAGTATGCTTAGGCCCGGTTCAAACGTCGAACTTTACATGTGCCGAACCTAATAATTAGGTTCGGCACATGTAAAGTTCGACGTTTGAATCAATTAGGTCCGGCAGATTTGTATTCGGGTCGACCTGCCGTTCTATTCGACCGGGCTTGTCGGATAGAACGGCAAAAGATCAACTTTGATTCATACGTCGAACCGTTTCATGTGCCGAATCTAATGCATACATTACAAATACATTAAATAAATTAATTTTTACCCAGAGTTCTGCACGATTCTTATGTTTGACATGCGCATACGACTTGTTTTGATCTTTTCAAACAAAATGGCGGGAAGAGCGGAAGATATGTGTTCCTCTTGCTTCGAGAACACGAAATATACGTGTCTGAGGTGTAAGAATTACTTTTGTATGCGGTGTTCCGTATTTGAAAATGATGAAAGTGTAGCGGGTTGGAAAGCAGGCAGTTCGGTAGCGTACTGCGAGTCATGTTTTCGAGAGAAAATGATTCTTGAAGAAACCGAAGGCAATGATCACGAGGAGACCAGTGTGGGTCAGAAAAGCCAAGAGTCAAGCTTGAATGTTAAGTCCACAAAGCCACCCGCTATGAAAAGGTATGCTTCTCAGGTCATTCTGATATTATTTCTCTGAAAAGCCCCGAGGGGACGTGAATTAAGTAAAGTACGTAAGCTTAAGTATTGATAATGTCCCTTCTTTTGTTCTAAATGGGCTACACACTCAAATTAAATTTGCTTGTTTGGTCAGTTTGAGCTAATAAGCAAATGCTAAGGTTTGCCATGGATATCTCGGTCATAAACTTTTTTTGTTTACTTTTTTACTGAAAGGTCATGAGAAAAGACATTTTTGAAGAAAAACATGTGATCATTTCAGTTAACATCATTATATTCATAATTTCCTCAGCGGAGATTGTAGGAAGTTTCAAATAGTAAAATTTGGTTGTCTAATTTTCACCAACCCAGGTTATGAAACATAATTATAATAAGCTGATGAAGCTAATATCTAGGTTTGAATGTTTGTCCTATAGCAAAAACATTGACGCAAATGAGGATGAAGATGATGTTACAAGTGAAGAGGGTGATGACAATGAAGATGTGGACAAAGCTTTGTCACTATTTGTAAAGAAAGGAAAGGCCAGGAAGGGCAAAAGACCTGGGCGAAGACCTCAATGGTGCCCGAAAGTTCTTGATGATTTCATTGACATTGTTGTTAACAGCAATGAGTTTAAGACCAAACTGATTTTTACGAACACCAAGAATCAGAGAAATAGTCCAATTTATGCCAAAATCTTGGATGAGCTGAAAGGCAGGGCATCAGCAAGAGGTGACAAGTTCAACATGTCAATTGCCCAGCTGAGGACCAAGTTCAAAAAGTGTGTCAGCCAGTGTAAACAAGCTGCACTAACTCAGAAAACTGCAACAGGAATAAAGAGGTACCAGGAAGACCATGGGTTTGGAAGCTGGTTCAATGCCTTGTTTGCAGTGGTTAAAACAAGGGATTCCTGTCAGCCCGAACGTGCTTTAGAGCCATCATCATCGTCCTCTCCATGTACCCCTGGAAGTTCTCATGATGACCACCCTTCTGATAATGCTGGGGACGAAGATGCCCTGTATATACCAAAAAGGTCTGCAAAGAAGGAGAAATTTGCTAAAGATAAACTTGACAACACCCAAGTGATGAAACTCATCACTGAAGTTGTCAGAAATGACCCCACAAAAGAGATGATCAGCTTTCTGAAAGACGAAATGGAAAAGTCCCGAGAGCATGAGTTGAAGTTATTTCAACTCATGCTTGGTCATAGAGCCAATTCAGGCTTGCCTCCATCATCCAGTATGGTGCCTCCATCCTCCAATATGGAAACAGGGTTTTACCAATCATGGAATCAGGGCTTTCCCTGTCATGAAGCAGGGTTTTACCCATCATTGCAGGGTTCTCAAGGGCCACAACAAACCACCCAGGAAAGCATGTCTGAAGGTTCTTATGGGAACCCTTTCCTTTATGGCAATGGAAAATACCAGACATTGTAGACATAGAGCTTATTAGTTATAATGTGCTCATAACTATTACTTTGACCACAGTTCTTCTCAGGTCTATTTATTGTGTTGCATTGGACAGCATTCTTACTGGTTTTAACTTAAGTTCTTTTTTGCAAGAATAGATTTCTTTTGAACACTTTGAATTAAAAAAAAATGGTTGAATATGGATAAATTTATTTCTACGTTTGTTTCAGTTCAATATGTTGCAAAATGATGATACAGTAACATTTTTTAGTACCGTAGTTTTTTGATTAAATGCCGGGCTTTCAGTAAATGCCTGGTCTCCAAGGTGGAGTTTTAAATAAACCCCTGAAGTATCTATTAGAGGTTAAACAAGGTGCAGATATAATGTAACAATTTATGTCTGTACAAATGTTACCCGTGCCCCATTATAAAGCCATACAAAATTTATGAAGAAATAACCAGAACTTCATGAATAAAGAGCTCAAGCGAGCTTCGGGGGTCAAATAAACCCTAGGTCCACAATGTTTCAAAAAGGTAAATGCCAGGGGTTTTTAATTGAGAAAAGACGGTATATCTGCTGTAGGGCAATTGCAAAATATACATAACAATCAAAGGAGTTTTATTTAACATGAATAAACTACAAGGAAAATGTGTGTATATCAGAAGTAAAATAATTATATGTTGAATGTTTTTTTTTTCAACAATATTTGCAGTACATAAAAATTGAATGTTTAAACTTTATTTTTCTATTAATATTAAATTTATGAAAGTCATCTTTCATTGTTGTTTCAGAACATAAATGCAATTAAAAGCAATTTACCATTTAAGCTGCATAGTCAATGGACAAGTTCTCCTTACTGGTCTCTTTGTTTCCTTTAGTATTAGTTGGGAGAATTTTTAATTATTCAAGGGGATGTCTATTTGCTGATCACTTCCTTAATTCTCACAACCTTTTTATGACTGGATTGACACTGTGAAGAAAAAATTTGATCTTGACAACAATGAAATCGAAGAGGGGATGAAACTTTTCCTTTGGTANATTAGGTTCGGCACATGTAAAGTTCGACGTTTGAATCAATTAGGTCCGGCAGATTTGTATTCGGGTCGACCTGCCGTTCTATTCGACCGGGCTTGTCGGATAGAACGGCAAAAGATCAACTTTGATTCATACGTCGAACCGTTTCATGTGCCGAATCTAATGCATACATTACAAATACATTAAATAAATTAATTTTTACCCAGAGTTCTGCACGATTCTTATGTTTGACATGCGCATACGACTTGTTTTGATCTTTTCAAACAAAATGGCGGGAAGAGCGGAAGATATGTGTTCCTCTTGCTTCGAGAACACGAAATATACGTGTCTGAGGTGTAAGAATTACTTTTGTATGCGGTGTTCCGTATTTGAAAATGATGAAAGTGTAGCGGGTTGGAAAGCAGGCAGTTCGGTAGCGTACTGCGAGTCATGTTTTCGAGAGAAAATGATTCTTGAAGAAACCGAAGGCAATGATCACGAGGAGACCAGTGTGGGTCAGAAAAGCCAAGAGTCAAGCTTGAATGTTAAGTCCACAAAGCCACCCGCTATGAAAAGGTATGCTTCTCAGGTCATTCTGATATTATTTCTCTGAAAAGCCCCGAGGGGACGTGAATTAAGTAAAGTACGTAAGCTTAAGTATTGATAATGTCCCTTCTTTTGTTCTAAATGGGCTACACACTCAAATTAAATTTGCTTGTTTGGTCAGTTTGAGCTAATAAGCAAATGCTAAGGTTTGCCATGGATATCTCGGTCATAAACTTTTTTTGTTTACTTTTTTACTGAAAGGTCATGAGAAAAGACATTTTTGAAGAAAAACATGTGATCATTTCAGTTAACATCATTATATTCATAATTTCCTCAGCGGAGATTGTAGGAAGTTTCAAATAGTAAAATTTGGTTGTCTAATTTTCACCAACCCAGGTTATGAAACATAATTATAATAAGCTGATGAAGCTAATATCTAGGTTTGAATGTTTGTCCTATAGCAAAAACATTGACGCAAATGAGGATGAAGATGATGTTACAAGTGAAGAGGGTGATGACAATGAAGATGTGGACAAAGCTTTGTCACTATTTGTAAAGAAAGGAAAGGCCAGGAAGGGCAAAAGACCTGGGCGAAGACCTCAATGGTGCCCGAAAGTTCTTGATGATTTCATTGACATTGTTGTTAACAGCAATGAGTTTAAGACCAAACTGATTTTTACGAACACCAAGAATCAGAGAAATAGTCCAATTTATGCCAAAATCTTGGATGAGCTGAAAGGCAGGGCATCAGCAAGAGGTGACAAGTTCAACATGTCAATTGCCCAGCTGAGGACCAAGTTCAAAAAGTGTGTCAGCCAGTGTAAACAAGCTGCACTAACTCAGAAAACTGCAACAGGAATAAAGAGGTACCAGGAAGACCATGGGTTTGGAAGCTGGTTCAATGCCTTGTTTGCAGTGGTTAAAACAAGGGATTCCTGTCAGCCCGAACGTGCTTTAGAGCCATCATCATCGTCCTCTCCATGTACCCCTGGAAGTTCTCATGATGACCACCCTTCTGATAATGCTGGGGACGAAGATGCCCTGTATATACCAAAAAGGTCTGCAAAGAAGGAGAAATTTGCTAAAGATAAACTTGACAACACCCAAGTGATGAAACTCATCACTGAAGTTGTCAGAAATGACCCCACAAAAGAGATGATCAGCTTTCTGAAAGACGAAATGGAAAAGTCCCGAGAGCATGAGTTGAAGTTATTTCAACTCATGCTTGGTCATAGAGCCAATTCAGGCTTGCCTCCATCATCCAGTATGGTGCCTCCATCCTCCAATATGGAAACAGGGTTTTACCAATCATGGAATCAGGGCTTTCCCTGTCATGAAGCAGGGTTTTACCCATCATTGCAGGGTTCTCAAGGGCCACAACAAACCACCCAGGAAAGCATGTCTGAAGGTTCTTATGGGAACCCTTTCCTTTATGGCAATGGAAAATACCAGACATTGTAGACATAGAGCTTATTAGTTATAATGTGCTCATAACTATTACTTTGACCACAGTTCTTCTCAGGTCTATTTATTGTGTTGCATTGGACAGCATTCTTACTGGTTTTAACTTAAGTTCTTTTTTGCAAGAATAGATTTCTTTTGAACACTTTGAATTAAAAAAAAATGGTTGAATATGGATAAATTTATTTCTACGTTTGTTTCAGTTCAATATGTTGCAAAATGATGATACAGTAACATTTTTTAGTACCGTAGTTTTTTGATTAAATGCCGGGCTTTCAGTAAATGCCTGGTCTCCAAGGTGGAGTTTTAAATAAACCCCTGAAGTATCTATTAGAGGTTAAACAAGGTGCAGATATAATGTAACAATTTATGTCTGTACAAATGTTACCCGTGCCCCATTATAAAGCCATACAAAATTTATGAAGAAATAACCAGAACTTCATGAATAAAGAGCTCAAGCGAGCTTCGGGGGTCAAATAAACCCTAGGTCCACAATGTTTCAAAAAGGTAAATGCCAGGGGTTTTTAATTGAGAAAAGACGGTATATCTGCTGTAGGGCAATTGCAAAATATACATAACAATCAAAGGAGTTTTATTTAACATGAATAAACTACAAGGAAAATGTGTGTATATCAGAAGTAAAATAATTATATGTTGAATGTTTTTTTTTTCAACAATATTTGCAGTACATAAAAATTGAATGTTTAAACTTTATTTTTCTATTAATATTAAATTTATGAAAGTCATCTTTCATTGTTGTTTCAGAACATAAATGCAATTAAAAGCAATTTACCATTTAAGCTGCATAGTCAATGGACAAGTTCTCCTTACTGGTCTCTTTGTTTCCTTTAGTATTAGTTGGGAGAATTTTTAATTATTCAAGGGGATGTCTATTTGCTGATCACTTCCTTAATTCTCACAACCTTTTTATGACTGGATTGACACTGTGAAGAAAAAATTTGATCTTGACAACAATGAAATCGAAGAGGGGATGAAACTTTTCCTTTGGTACCCTCAACAAGCAGTAATTTTTGTGAAGTGGCTCAACATTTTTCTCCAAGATTGAAGATCTTAGTGGGCACCCATATAAAGGGAATAATGCAAAGTTTATCCAATTATTCCAATACTTAAAATGTGGGACCCAAAATAACTTATAACAACAAAATTGCCACCATCAAATTAACATCAAAATCAATTTCACTGCACATAGACCACATATGCTCTACCACAATATAACCAACGGAAAACACAAGATCTAACTATAAACAACCTAGTATTATCATTAACAGTTCTTTTTTACTGAACATGGCTGACTTTCATGTGGTGTCTCTGTCAGTGCTGCTGATCAGATTGAATGTATAGCCTGCAAGGCAGCCAGACATGTATTAAACAGCAACAACAACAACGAAAAAAAGAAACAGTGAAGGAATGGAGAGTGAGAGGGAAAAGCGAAAGGAAAAAGAATTAAGAAGAAAGCAAAAACAGGAAGAAGAAAGAAGAAGAGAGGAAGAAAGCAGAGGGAGGCATGACGAAAGAATTAACAGAGGAAGAAAAAGAAATCGTGATGACTCAAGAGATGAGAGGAGAACGAGTTTGCACAATGACGAAGTGACTGAAAGACGTAGAAAGGGTATGTATAAGTTGGTTGTTTTTTATAAATTTCAAGATTTTAGTATTTATTCTTTTCTTTTGTAGTTCGTTGCTACAATTGTGGGAAGGTGGGACACTACAAACGGGAGTGTCTCAATAAGAGAAAGCGTCCCAACAAAGAAGGGTTTGTCTTTAACCTGAACGGAGGAACCATGGAAGTCCACATCCATGACAAAGACTTTAAGTAAAAAGCAAAAAAAACAACAAAAAAAAAGAAAAAGAAAAGAAAAAAAAAAAAGATGTTGTGTTATACATGTTGATGTTTCTTGTTCTTTGTTAATATTATAATATTGTTTATGGTGTTCATTGTCAGTTGTGTAGTTAATTGTTTAACTTAAAGAACTTTGACCAGATGTTGTGTTATTTTTTCTTAAATCCCAGCAACAATGAGCTCGTTTGGTCAGCGAGTGATACCCCTAGCATAATGATTTATGATGAAATGAAACAGTGTTCATCATATCTGGTTATGATAGATAATACCGATTTAAACGGGGGGACTGGGAAACCAACAATGTAGATAGAAATATTCATCTTCTTCAGTACAATTTTATTTAAAGTTGAATGATTTTGAATCATTTTTATTATTCATTATTAATTGAATAAATCTTTCTCTTTTCTTGATTAGCAGGAAGTAGAAGGTTATGTGTATTCTTGGAAATGATTGCTGAGTGCGTTGTATGTCAGTGAATGAAGTATTCTGAAAGATGGTTAACGATAATCTCATGGTTAAATGTGTAGATCTTGTTACTAAGATAGATAAATAAAAAAACATTGATTTTAACAAATTGTATGAAATTTATAACTGGTTAACTGAATAAAAAAAATGGTTACACTTGTATCGAAAGGGGAAGAGAATGTTATCTTAGTATAAGAAAGATCTGTTGTTTTGTTGAAATAAAATATTTGAAGGATAAAATCAGATCAAGCTGGATACAACTTAGTTTTTGAGTTAGTGAAACAGTTGTACAATTTTGAAATGGTTTCTTAGTGACTAATTTCGTAACAAAAAAACCATGATATTCTGTGCAGGCTAATTAAATCTTGCACTTGATACAATCATATGAAAATAATTTGGTGAAAATAGTAAATGTATCAGTACTGAATTAACAGACTTTGCCAGTTTCCTTCTCAAGCCATAGTTTTTCACATAGTGCATTCCTTACTTTTTTTGCCTCCAGTGACACATCTCTGATGCTTGAACAATTTCTCATCTGCAACAGTTTTCTTATTTCCTCACGATTTCTCTTTTGACCATTTGCATCCAAACTCAAATCAAGCTTTTTTGAAATGGCATCTCCTCGTGCAATGCATATATTGTGGAGAACCATACATGCCAATGTTGTTAAGCGGACATTATCTTGACTGCTTTCACTCTTTCGGAGTAGGACCCTCCACCTACCCTTGAGCTGCCCATAAGCACCCTCTGTAACCATGCGAGCTCTGCTTAAGCGGTAATTAAAGTAACGTTGCTTGGGGGTCAGAATTGCATTAGTATATGGTTTCATCAACCATGTTCGTAGAGGGAATGCAGAGTCCCCCACTACAAGTGGTGGAACAGTAACATCTCCTACAGTTTTTCCAATTACTGGAATGAGGCCTTCTTGGATACGGGTCCAAAGGTCGGTTGATCTAAAAATAACTGCGTCGTGAGAATTTCCTGGAAACCCGCAGCTACCCCACACAAATCTGTAATGTGAGTCTACCATTGCCATCAGTACAATGGAATAGAAATTTTTAAAGTTATGGTACTCTTTGCATGACTGAAGTCCTCCAGGCGGGCATTTCATAGGAATATGGCAGCCATCCGATGCTGTCCAACAGCATGGAAATTGCCAGAATTCTTCCATGTCAAGAATTTTTTGTTTAAACTCTTCTTCAGTTTGGGGCATGTGACTTGACACATTCTCGTTCCATAAATGGTCCACCAAGACTTGACAGACTTCCTGACAAATTGAGGAAATTGTGGAGACGCCTAGTCCAGACATTTCGGCGATGGTATAGAAATAATCTCCTCGGCTTAGTCTATACAGACAAATAGCAAGCCTCAGCGCTGGTGATATCGGTTCTTCCGTCACAGTTTGCCGAATAAGGAAGGGTTCAATACGTCTCAGGATGAAATTAAATGTCCCCCTAGATACTCTGAAGGTTTTTTTGAATCTTGCGTCTGAATAGATGTTGCAAACATTTTGCCACCAGCCAGAATTTCTTTTTAGCCGACGACACGAACGAACTGGACGAGGAACTGTGACGTTCCTATGGGAAATAAGCAATAATACAAGGCAAGCCAAATTCAAAACTCGTCTTCTCCTGGCAGCAAGGTTGTTTAATGCCAACTGCATCTTAAGTCGCCTTTTTCTACCCTCCTTGATCGCATTTGCAAGAAAAACAAGCTCTTCATTTCCAGCATTTGTATTTGCCACATTTTTTTCCGCCATTTTGGTAAGCAATAACCGCTGACCGCAGTAGAGTCATGTTCAGTTTCTCAATTAAGTTCGACATATTTAGGTTCGACGTTTGAATCAACTGCCGAACCTAATTATTCGAGTCGACCCGAATTGCTATTAGGTTCGGCACATGTAAAGTTCGACGTTTGAACCGGGCCTTAAAGTAACCTTTTTACGTGACCAAAAGTGTTGTACTTTAAGTACAATTAAAGTATACTTTTCTAATTGTTTAAAAGTATACTGCATTCCTGCAAGGGCAGGAGCAAACAACACACGTATGGAATAAGGTAAGCCACTTTTATTTAATATTTTGACTTTTAACTATCTCTATGGATATCTTGTAGAAAATCCCATACAACTCCTTATAAATATGCAAATTGTGTTCCTTTTGTGGTTCTTAAAGAGAGCTTAGGCCACCTGTGGTAAAATCATGTTGTGAGAAGGTGTTGTTTACAAAAATAAGGTTGAGAAATTTTATCACGCAGTCACGATCATTTGCACGTTAACCAAAGATGACTTGCCAGTCATTACTAAAGTTAATGGTCATTTGATCACTTTCTTAATATTCGGCTTTGGGCACAGAAATAAAAGCGCAGCAAAACTGTTGGTGGCATTTTCTATCAACGATTTCTGTAGAATGTTATGCAATGAGATGCGTTTCCATTGCTGTGTTAACCACAGTGTATTCAAAATATTTCTATGGTATGCGAAAGACAATGAATGGAACTAATTCTTACTGTAAAATTACAACTGTGACAAAGCTTTACGAAAAGCTTGTACTCATCGAGGGCTAAATAAAAATAATAAAACCTCAAAGAAGAATGTGTTTTACTAAAGGATAGCATCCAGTTTGACGTGAAACATTACTGCACTTTAGCAAAATGCCCCATCTATTGTTATCTGATTTATCTAGTGTTGACTTAAGACAGACAAATGATGTTGGTGATGACTTAAATTAACAGACAAATCTTAGTTTAGCAACAACATGGCATATATTCTTTCATTTCATTGGTTTGTTGAGGAACATAGTTCCTGAAGAGTAAGGTTCATATTATAAACCCAAATCTGATTGGTTGACACGGTAACTTATTTCCCAAAGATCTCATTACAAATGTGAGATCTGATTCGTTCATTCATGAACGAATACCTAAAAATGTCAAGTACATTTTTAGATGGGGATATGTTAAGTATACTTTTCAACTTGAAAAAGACATTTCCATCAAGTCTGAAAGTCTTTTCGACACTTAAGTATACTTTCACCCTACTTTCTATTTGAGTCATGTATTTATAAATAAATGGAAAGGTACTGATTGATAAAGTTATACTTCAGTACAGCACATTTCTAGGAAAGCTCGTATTTAAATTGTTTCCTTGGAGCAACAAAAAAATAGGGAAAAAAATAAATGTTATACAACTGATATACTTAATGCTTCAGCACACAAAACTACCTACAATGTTGTCTACACAATTTTTTAAGAACCACTTCATCATTTTTCATAAGGACTGGGTTGATGAGCTACTGATCAATCTCAAACTGAGAGGTAGTGCTCCTCTGAAACTTGATATTACACCCAAAATGAAGGCACAGACAAAATAATTATGGGGGCTCTGCCTTGGTTTACAGAAAAACAAGACATAAAACCAACATTTTAAGAATTTTAATATATGAAGGTTTATACAAATCACTGGATTTGCAGTAAGTTCTTACGCATTTTACACCTATGAATTGCATTATTTTAAACAGATGAAATAAGAACAGGTGTTATAAGGAAGTACACCCTCATTAGTCCTTCTCATTCATATCTGTTGGGCAGCTGGCAGAGAAACATGCCATTCCCATGTTGGCTGTCCACTAAAACACACAATGCCTTGACACTTTTTATGGGGAAGACTAGATTACTACAGCCTTCTCTCCTAACTGGAATAAGGTGCCTCGGGTTACAGTTGGTAGATGTGTCCCGAGAGAAAATGATATCAGTAGCAGGCTGTAAACAGCAGTCAGCAATTCCATAGTAATAATTAGTTTTGCAACTACATGCATTCGTACAAAATAAAGTATTTGGACACTGTACAAACAACTTAACAAACAACTTAACCCTCAAGAAACCCCAACTCATCCACTTCAACTGTGTTACTGTTCCTTCGAGAAACATTTTGGTAGCTTTTGATGTGAATTACACCATTGTTGATCTGAATTTGCTTAAATGAAAAAGCTTTTGATACTCTTGCACCCAACTTGTTTTCAAGAAAACCTGTAAGAGCAGCACTTAAGGCAGCTGGTGCCATCATACCCAGTGCAAATACGCTATTTGATACCCTTTCACGCTTGCATTTGAGCGAGTGCTGACCCCATGCAATGTGCTCATAAAACTCTTTAGAAGCTGAAACAAAAGGAAGGACATTTACTAATTCTGGGATCTTTTGCTGAACACAAACAGAAAATGCTATCTGCAGTTCTACTTTTTGAGAACCATGAAATCATTTTCTCAAGACACCATTGTTTTCCTCTCAAACCAGAAGCACAAGCAAGCCTACAAAGGACCAATGTTTCTAACACACTCTAATAGATTAAGGAGATAGTGAACATTAAATGTTTCATACCACCTGCCATAAAGAGCTTCAACTATTAAACAGAAGCGCCGCAACAGGTTATCAGCTTTCTGTAAACACAGGGTTGACCCTGAACTCGGATCTAGTAACCAGATTGCTTCCACAAGTAGAATAAAGTGCTGGAAGTACTCATCTGGCAAAATGTTCCACAGTTAAGGGATACCATAAAAAAATTAAAATGATCGAAACTCTGAAGCTTTCCATCGAGCATATTCTTTATTTATCTTTATTTATCATTATTTATTTATTTATTTATTTATTTATTTAACGTTTTTCTTTTTGGACTTCTGGCGCTAAATAGGTATTTCTTGAACAGTAGGACGAACTTCGTTTTGAGGATGGCAACCCCAACTTGGTACTTTTACCGAAATCAATAAGAATCGGGTCATATTTCGCAGAGTCGGACTTTCTTTCCAATACCGCATTGTTAGCCTAAACGTCATCGTGCAGGTAGCCCTTTAAATGAACAAAGCTCAAGGAGGACAAGAATAGCCACCCAGTGGATGTCCATTGTTAAATCATTAATTATTTATTTATTTATTCTTTTGAAATACTCCTGGGTGCTCTTGAAATACAATTAGGAGGGGCTATTATTGAGTAGTCACATCTCTCCACTGCTTCCACCCTGTTTCCTATACTCCAGTCTTCAGCAGCAAGTGACCTATCAAACCACAAAGTCATAAGCATTTTGGTAACCCCTAACAGAACACAAAGCATATAACCAATTGAAACACCTTTAAAACTATATCAAAATATCAAATCCAGGAATAAACATAAACCAAGAATAGCCTTTCACTCCACAAACAGGTGCATAATTCCCCTCTAGTTTTGATTTTTGAGCTTCGTAAGCATGGTGAAGTGTGTTCTCACAATTCTTTTCAGTTCCATAACCGTTTGATAAATTTTCTCTGTTGAGTGGGTATGCACGTGTGTGTCCTTTGGCACTTGTTTTCACACTTACTCCCTGTTCCAAAAAATAAGGACATCCACCACTATTAACTCTTCTCCATCCGATTCTATTCCTTTGGGGTCATTATCTGACCCCCATAAGAGTAAAATATTACCACAAAATTGCGTTTCTTCAGTTTGATGCCAAAGTTGACACACCAGATGTAATCAGATATTGCCGATTACAGGCCAAATTTTAGGGAAAATGCTTTAATTCAGCGTTCACATGAACTTTTTTTTCACCCCAAGCGTGTCTAAAATCAATCGATCACCAGCCGATCCTATTCTGATGGGGTCATTTCTGACCCCATAAGGAGATAAAATTTACCAAAAAATCGCATTACTTCCATTTTGACACTAAATTTTGCCAATCACTGGCTGAATTGTAGGGAAGACGGTTTAATTCTGAATACGAGAAGATCTTTTTTGGAAACATTTCACGCTTTGTGTGAGTTGAGATTCGAAAAGAATGGCTTGGTCTTCCAAAAGAGTGAGAACCTTTACATTAGAGGAAGCTTTAGAAAGCATTTTAGCGTCAGACAAAGAAAATATGGGAATGTCCAGTGATGAAGAGAGTTATTTAGATCATGAGCTGGACTACCAAAGTGGAATATCAAGATAAGCGATTTATTTACTTTCGACCGCGTGGTCATGCTACACAATTGAAAATATGTTCTTGAAATGCGAGGAAATACTCTTCTGGGTGCCTTCATTGTTGAATTCTGGCCATTTTCATGAGATTTATTCATAAATTCATATGAAAGTGAAAAGCAGCTTTCTGAGTGATTTCAGATCAAGCAATGCTAAAATATTCAGAACAAGGGGAGATTGCTCTGGTTTTCAAATGTTGCTTTGCCATGGACATGGCTCTGGTTTTGTCTGTCGCGAAGACATGGAGCTTGCGCTATTGCTTTTTTCCTGTTTTATTTGGCAAAATATTGGATCCCAATGTGAAACTATTAATTTTGATCCTTGTAGTGTACTGTCACAACAAACTGAGCACTATTGTCGCAAGCTAACCAAAGGAACACAGTCAAAACTCTTTCATCTCGTGTGCATTTCATTTTCATTGCAATTTCCTTTATCTCTCAAGTGGGAGCGAAGGAAAGCAACACTTCATCGGCACAATATGGAAAATACGTTGACTGACCAAAGTCTTGCACTAGTTTGTTACTTCATATTTATCACTAAGCTTTAACTCTTTGATATCTAAAAGAGAGTATTAAAATAATGTCACATAAATTTATTTACTTGTCTTCATTTGTTATACTCTAAGAGTTCTTTCCTCGCAAAGTATGTTCTTTTCTTTCTTTTTTGGAGGTTACACACAGACAAAGTTTCCAGACCTGCCTTCTGATAGTGATCTAAAGATTGCCCTCAGGAAAACAGTCAGAAACTTCAGAATATAAAACGAATAAATAAATCTACATGGTATATAATTTTGATAAATGTAAACCGCAAGTTGAATCGCAAAAATAGTTTTGCCCTTTTTATTGATTCTTTTGTGCCTAATACCAGAAAATAGAAAAGGGTCATAGACACATTCTAAGCCGGCGGCAAAATTTAACAGCTGGGAAATTACTAGTCTCCGAACGGC